GACGAGGATCTGTCTGCTGTACCGCTTCACTTCGTTGTTCGACAGGCCGTGCTCCCGCACATGTAGCGCTACACCATTGGCTCCGCAGCGATCCTCACCGTTGGAACTCATCACGCAGCAGGGGCCCAGACGGGGCAAACAGTACCTGCAAACATCCTGAAACTAACGGGGTAATTTACAATAGCAACGCGGGATGGCTAGAAAGATGGAAAAAGGGGGAAAAAAGGCGGGGAAAGGGATGGAAGGGGACGAGAACAGGACGGTAAAGAAGCGAGAAAAAAGTACAAGAAAAGTGTGGAGCTCCAAGCTGTCGCCGCACAATTTCAGAGACACAAAAGAAAAATTCAAAGTTCATTTCTAATCATCACATCAAATATCACGGAAGGGGAACTCGAGTCAGGAGACGGGACATTTGCATAAGACAAAGAATCGAAGAGCAACTGGGCAAGGCGAAGGGGTTTCAGCCCATCAACTTCGTTCTCTTGCTGCTAGCACCTCCTTTCTTTTGCAACAAAAGAGGACGGGGCGAGAGGCGATCAAGGTGCAGACACAATTTGAGGGCAACTTCTATTATACGATTTTTCAACGAAATACTAGAGCAAGAGATAAGCGATCAATCGGGGAACTCTGGTGGCTTTAAGGGTTTTGACGTGACGCAAGTTTAGTTCAAAAGCGAAGGGTACTTGTGTTTCAATGACTGAAGCCGCATATGTCCAGGAAAAGCGCCTCGAATGGGAAAAGGAAACAAAGGAAGCGAAAGAGATATAAGATTAACATAAATTATATAAATCTGTGTTTTTACGATACCGTAACCTCCTTTGTAATAACGGTGACGCCGTCAATTAGCAGCACCAACATTAATTATGTATGTAGCTCTTTTTTTTAAGCTGGACTCTGCTGGAACGAGGCGGAACTCCAGATGGGCTTAGTAGCCGATTTTTCCGGCAAATTTTTAGTATCAGCATTTGTTTTCGTACTGACCAGACGCCGTCTACTAACATCAGGACACCGTCTACCAACATCAGAT